CTCTCCCCGCCTCCTCGCCGAGGTCTGCAGCGGGGGAAACGTTGGCACGTCACTTCAGCGCCCGTCAAAAGTTGTTCGCACCCAAACTGCTAACGCCACGCAAAGTCAAACATGTCGATACCGCACCTGTCTGTCTCGTTCTTTCAATCTGACAGAATGCTGACAATTCATGTATTTCCTTGTTATTCTCCAAAATTATTTCATCTTTCCTATCATCGTCTTAAGCAGCATATGGTACCTTTATATCGAACTGAATTAAACAAGAACAGAAACAGCTGTGTCAGCAGCTGGTCGGATTTCTCCTCTTGCTTAGCTCCTATTAAATATAGTTTTTCCCCCAAAAGTTTAGAAATGGCGGTGTTTGGTTGGATCTGATTAACTTATAAGAGGGACGAGCGGCAGAGTCTGCCACGGGACTGAGGCCGCATCGGCATCGTATGAAGCAACAAATGAAACGTAGAAAGCGTGTCTGCCGCGTGGGGCCGGTCTCTCTGAGGTCACAGCGGCCACCGGGAGATCATCATTCCAGGCGCAGGGCCCGTGGGCACGGACGTCCTGCAGCGGGAGCCAGGCCCCTGCACTGGAGGGACAGACAGGAGGACGGGGAGGGGTGGGAGGGAGCCGAGGACGGGGCCACGGTGCCCGCTGGGCCAGGAGTCTGGCTGTGGTTTCGGGAGCTCCCTCTTAGCCTGGGAGGGCTCCCTGGGAGGGGACGTCCCAGGGGCCACGCTCCACGGCCCCCCAGTTCTGCAGGAAGTGCAGGGAGATTTGGGGGCAGCAGGTGAGGGCGCTTGGCGTTCACGGCCGCTGCTCCGAGGCCCGCGCCGCTGAGCATCCTGCCGGGCCCTGAGCTTTATTGATTCCCCAGGAAACAGACCACAATTATTTCTGAAAATGGATGGCATATTTGTCTACCCTCTGGAGCAGCTCAGACTCCGATAGATAAAGCGTCAGGAGAAAAATCAAAGAAAATGGAGGTGTCCATAGCGCGGATAGATTTTTCTTTCCTGTTGGCAATGTCCAAGCAACTCGCAGAAAAGCAGGAAGAAGCAGGACGGAGGAGCGAGGGGAGCCCGAGGTAGGCGCTCACCAAAAGGGGCAGCGAGAGCCGCAATTGGCCCCGCGGCCCGTGCCCGTTTGCTTAAGAGCCGTCAATCCTTGTTCTCAGGAGACCCAGCCTCCCGCCGCTGTCCCCCACCTGGCCCACCCAGGTTCAGGCTGGAGCCCCAGCGGGCGACGCCAGGGGAGCGGCGACGTCCCCTTTCATACATAACTGAGTTTGACCCCAAAAGCTGTCGCTCTCTCCTGCCCCATGGTCCCCGGGGGACCGAGGCCACCAGGTTAGGCACAGCCACTGGTGAACCCGTCCCAGGGCCCACGTCCACATCTAATGAAGGACAGGGTCCCAGGACACGGGGCCAGGTCTCCCCTCCTGTGACAGCCCCGTGGTGGGCGCCTGGGGGGCTGTCCCCATGTCCTGGCAGCCCGAGGACCCCCACACCCACCAGCACAGCCTCGGGGGACCCAGCTCCCCCTGGGAGCAAAGTGCACCTCCAGAGCCCCGCCATCCTGCACCCGGAAGGCCGCCGGTCAGACGAGGTTCGGATGGGCCTCGATGCAGCAGGAGGAGGCCGCCAGCCAAGTGTGCAGGTCACCCCGGGCCTGGACAGCGACCTGGGGGTCGCTTGGGAGGGGGAGGGAGAGCGAAGTCCGGGCCCAGGGCCTCGGGGTCAGTTCCACGCACACAGCAGGGTAACTCCCGCAGCGGGGACCCGGGACGGGGCGGCCCCCCCCGAGCGCTCACCTGTGTGTATCCTCAGGTGCACCTTCAGGTGGTGCGACGTGCGGAAGGTCTTCCCGCAGTACGGACAGTCCTTCATGGCCGAGCCCAGG